CACCAGAAGCTGCGTTGGTTGGGACATGTGTTACGTATGCCGAACCATCGTTTGCCGAAGAGAGTGCTGTTTTCCATGCCCAACTCAGAGTGGCGTAAGCAGAGGCGGCCAACCCGTGACTTGGCAGAGGAGTACCAAGATCACGAGACGCTTGGGTGCTGTCGGTGCTGCGTGATCTTCACTGCGCCTGGTTGGGACGGTTCAACATATGGCTTCTAAGCGATATCATTGGCGACCATGTTGTCAGTGTCTATTCGGATTGCCTGAATGAGTGGTTGGAGGTGTAGGCACCTAGTAAGCCAGCACTATGTCCCTTCCCCATCCAATTTTAGTCTTTTCTTGACAATAAGGCTTTCGATTAAATCATGGGTGTACGGCAGCGAAGCATCGGTGTTGAACACTGATGTCATGCTGCCGATGATGATGATGAGCCATCTGGCCCCCAACTTCAGGTCAGGAACCAGGCTAACCTAACGATTGTTTTTAGTGTTTGTCTACCACTACTGAGAAGGGTTTGAGGTGAAAATCGTAAGTGGTTACTGAGATGCGCAGTTACCGTGATGAAGTTGGCCTTTCGTCCAACATAGTCACTGCGCTCCACACGCACTGCTTGTAACCCACTACCGATAGTTAGCCAAGGCTATCATTCCGTAGCACTCATTACACGACCTTCTTGAAAAGGGAAGTGGCCAAGCATACTTGACAGAAACGCAGTGCGGGGAACAGCAGTCTGAACTAAAGTAAAGAAGTGCACAAGCTTCCTATTGTCATCTAACCACTGAGCAATGAATATTAAAAATTCGTTCCCTCGTACGGGCTATCGGAATTCCCAGTCACGGTCCTCAACAAAAAATCTAACGATGGTTTACCTTCTGTGAGGCCAAGTTCTGGGTTGCATTCCACATATCGGACAGAAAACCTGGAAACCAGACGAGAAACGAAATCCATTGCGTCAGACTCTGCCAATGGGACTGGAAACTCGCAGAACAGCCTTCGTAAAGCGATAGGAAGGAAATGTTTTTTGAAGTCCTTGGATCCAACAAGATTTTCTAGTAGATGTGGCCTTTACAAGAGCCTTTCAAAAAGAATGAAAAAGGTTTACCTTGACTGCAAGAAGCGACACCTCTGCATCAGGTTTAGTCCTGGGGCCGTATCCAAGTATGCAATTAGGTCTTCAAAATTGTCCTCCAGTAGGTGATTTTTGAAAAGGTACTCCATGCCCTGGAAGTTTATGTACATGTGGATTAGCATACCTCAAATGCATCCGCGTTAAACGTAAGGCGCGCTTCGTCCAGGCGCAAGTACAGTTGCCGGTATGTGCAGCCCTGCGGGAGGCCCCTTTTGTAAACAGAACAAAACGGCCATGTTTGTTGACAAAGTCTAGGGTGAGTTTGTAATCAGCACAGCAGATTACCCCCTCCAAAGAAGGTCGTCAAGGCACAAGTCATGCCAAACACAGGAAGCCAAACAGAGGTCAGTGGCATTCAGATTCGACAAAACGTGAAGTGCAAGTNACAAAGAAAGTCAACAAAACTTCCGGGTGAACGATGACACGTTCGCGACTCTAAAACAAACGCCATTACCAAATGCCACAGTATGTACTTTGGGCAGAATGGACACGGTGCCGCGATCTACGATCAATTATCGTGGATCTCGAAGTAGGTTTTATGGAGCTCTTTCTGTTGAATGCATCGTTTTCGACGCCTAGGCTGAAAAACTGCCCCATCATCAAGAAAGTGAACCACGGAAGCGGCCCCCCGATACAGGGGGCGCACGCATTCAGCAACGGACCGAATTGGGAGCTTGTGTATGATTGGTCAATGCTTCCAACAGATGTCACCGATCAATTGAATGACGGGCGGCTGAGAGCCGATTGGCCAAGCTTCCTCATTCAAACGTTAGTTTGCGATTATCATGTTTGCTGCGCTTCGGCTGACGGCTAAATTGAAGTATAGTGCGGTCTTCGAAATTTGGGATGGTTAACAAAATCATCGCCAAGTAGAACAGCTGGGCAAATAAGCTCGAGATTCACGGATTCACGGATTGATACACAGAATCGAGGCCTTTGCCCAATTTTCCCGGGTCACTTATGTTCTTATTGGCCAGTGGCTGTCGCTCACCTGAAAGGCACGAGTGAAAAAGGGTGTAGCGCTGCTCTTTATGTTCTCAGCGCGGGGCACTATGCTTGCCAGCGCGAGGATTCGCACAAATAAATGTCTAATAGTGCTTTAAACTGAGTTCTAGAAGGAGCGCGTACAACAGTCGGAGGGAGGTCATTCCACGCAGCTACTACCCTAAATGAAAAAAATTTCTCTGATGAATGTGTATGCTCTGAGCTTGAAAATTTTCTTACCATGACCCCGCCGTGTGTTTGCTGGGTCAACGGTAAAAAACCTGTTTGCCATGCTAAAACAGGGTGTAAGTAAGAATTAGGTCCCCTCGGAGGCGACGGTACTCCAGGGGAAAGAGATCAACCATCGCGAGACGCGTTTCGCAGTCCACAGATTTGAGGCCGGCAACCATTCTCGTAGCGGCCCGCTGGACACGCTCAATGAGGGTGACGTCTTTCGTACGTCCTGAGTAGACGGCTTGGTTGGCGTACTCCAGGAGCAAACTGATGTAGGCCCCATGCGAGTAAAACGGGAGAAGGTGCGTCGGATCATCCGTAAAATGGCGAATGCTTTTCGCGCCGATTTCTCATGGTGTAGTGAGAAGGACGAGTTTGGGGAGACCCAACTGCCCAAATGATTTTTGGCATCTATCCTCATGATGTTTTCTGGTCCCTTTTCACCGTGCATGAAAAAGGCACTCGATGAATCCCCTCCAAACGACATATGGACGCACGTTTCATCATTCAGAGGAAGGTGCCAGTCCAACGACCACTGCTAGGAAGCGTCACATCCATTTGGAGGGCACTGGCATTGGAACTCTAGGATTTAATGTTGCCCGCAAAAAGCAGATATGGACTCGCAAGGACGTCTCGAAGGTCGTTGACGTAGATCAGAAACAGGAGTGGACCCAAGACGGAGCCTTGAGGAACTCCAATGGAGACCGGCGCTGGAGAGGAGTAGGCCGAGCCCAGTCTCACTCGGAATGATCTGCCTGATAGGAACGTCTTGATCCAGCGAAGGATTTTCCCCTGAATCCCGTGAGACTCGAGTTTGTGAAGCAGCGGGACGTGCGGGACCCTATCGAATGCTTTTGAGAAGTCGAAAAATATGGCATCAGATATGAGTGCCTCGTCACTGGCTTGGGTTAAGCTGTCCATAAACACGAGCATGTTTGTCACGCAAGAGCGGCTTGGGAGAAATCCGTGTTGAGCTGGAGATATCAGGTTGCTGGAAGTAAGGTGATCTAGGATCGCTCGCTTCAGAGTGCGTTCCATCACCTTGCACGGCACGCTAGTGAGGCTTATAGGCCTATAGCTGCCAGGCGATAGTCGG